TATCGAGACACTACTATGCTTATTTAGTTTGCTGGAATTATATCTGTGGAAAAACATCCATCTTTTTACAAAGATGCGTCAATTTTTCATCATTTTATACACACTATGCTTACGTGCAATGATAGGCAATCGTATATAAGCATATTATATTTTATAAGAACGAATAGCAAGAATAAAAGTAGAAAAAATAAAAAAAAAGAGAAAAAAAACATAGTAAAAAGATAAATATTTACACGAGTCTTTTTGACGGAGATTATATTTAAATAAGTAAGTTGGCACTGCAGTCGAGAAATAATTATATTTCCAAGACATTTGATTGTGTATGTGTGTATGTGTTCTCTGTTGGCACTGCCACCGCGGCGTCTAGTGCGCGTTTCTATGTGATATTTAGAAAGGATCAAATATACATATATTCCTGTTCGATATCCTTCTTGTATTCTATAATCCAACAAAACACTAGTATCGATAACCATTGCAAATGTAAATTATTTTTTAAAAACACTTTGCATATTACAAATACGTGGAGCGAATTTGAACGAATCTGAACCCCGTTTTGAATAGTGAAATTCCTCACAGTTATTAGTAACACACGCATACATTATATCTACCGGTGCTTAATCGAGAAATGCTTTGAACGAGACAACATCACGTACCGTTATATCGAGATAATGCATCACCACCACCACCACTATTACTTTTTGTATTATTATCCGACAACAGAGTAATTAGCGTCATTCAATTTGGGAGAAAAATGAATTTGAATCGTTTCTAAATAATACTATGGCAAATATTCCTATCTATCTACAATGCGCTTTAGTAACTATAAAAATATGTAATTCGACAATCGATACATATTTCGTGTTTATTTGCTCTTCTATTGCAACAACGATGATATTTGCCACATTCAACAACAATCATGAGAAATTTTATTAATTTCAGTACACGATTTATCGATTAAGCATGTACATCGTAAACTTAAATATGCATAATGATTAATAATGACTTTTTCTGATGAACTTGAAGAAAGTAGAAGAAATACAACATGCGTATATTTATTTTGAGTAAAGATAAAAATACTTTTAAACATATTGAGTATTATTCCCCACATTTTATACTGTATATGACAGCTTTGGCAGCAGTATATTATCGATAATATATGTACGTGTATGTAAATACATATGTATATTCGCACGAATGTGTCGTGTTATGTTTATATTGCGATCAAATATCGAAACTTGCTTGCAACGTCCTATGAAATTCGATACGAATGCGCGCGCACACGTATACTTATATGTATCACGCAATAAGGAATACTTTCTTCCCCAATACTTATTCAAATAGCAATCAAATCTAGAATGCTGCATGTTTTATGTTTTTCTCCATAGTTTCGTTAATTTGAAACCCATTCGTGATTTTTTGCGTCGTACGGAGAGTCATACGCTACTATATAATGTTGGATACAATTTAATTCCAACATTAGCACATTCGATAACATAGACAAAAGAAAGGATACCGAAAACGAAAAGATACAATCTTTGAAATAATAATATACCTACTTGAGCAACTATAGCAAGTTGAGGTTCAAGTTTTCAACAATGTTCACGCCACGGGACAAAAAAAAAGTCAACATCCCACACAGAGAATTACAAAAATTGCTACGATTTTAACATGTTCACTATATAGACATAAAACAGTTATGGCATTCACCGCAAATAAAAGCACTGGCATAAAGTTCACCAAAGGTTCGTGTCTATTTCCTGTACATATATTTATTTATGTATCTATATGAACCTCTAACTTCTTCAAAAGAAAATTCACAATAGCTGTAAAAGTTTTCACCTTATTACAATATCATACTCCATACTTGGAATTCTGTTACGGAAACAAAATATGTAAGCAATTACTTTTTGCAACATTATAGTGAAACGGTACTAGGGACACGAAAACTTTTTAATACGCGAGGTGAGCACAGACGAGGTGCATATGTACATATAGGATAAACCTGACGCCACAAACGATGTACGGGATAGACCTAACACTTAATACATTGTAAAAATGTAATTCAATGTGAAATTAACAAATTAAGCTATTTTATTAAGTTAAAGCGTGCAACAGTTTTATTTGACACTTCAAATAAACATTAATTGTTCTATAATTAAAACACTTGAAAATAAGCCAGAAACTGTATTTTACTATCTATACATTATTAGTAATGCGAAAGTAATTGAAAATTGATTATAAGTATCAATTAAATATAACAAGGATGACGAAGATAGTAATAGCGAAGAGGGACAAGGGAAAGAATAGGAGAAGACGAGGATAGCAGTCGTGACGAGTGTTAGGCAAGGATAGCAATAAGGGTAGGCAAGGATAGAAGAGTGACGGTGACGCCATCTTGTATTTGGTGACGCGAACTACGACTTTTTAATAGGAACACAGAATGTCAACAGAGATATTAGACAAGGAACGCACTACTGTGCGAAAAGGATAGAGAGAAAACGTTTTCTATTGGTCCGCGGGTATCTAAGTGATGGCGGCCAGGTTGCCATTAAGTCGGCCAGGGAAAAATCATCAATAACACCAATAATTACGATGATTTTGTGAACTTCTAGATTTGAAGAATGCAGTGTGGGCCTTTAGCAATTTTCTCACATAGGTTTTAACGCACTAGACCATTTCAATAATTAGTTATTAACAATTTTAGTACGTGATGTCGGGAACAATACCGCATACCTTTACGGGTTTTTCAATAATTTCATTCAACTTCCTAATAAATTCGCATGCAACTAATTATACGAGTCTGAAAGGTAAATCCTTTGGCTATATTCCCATATAATTTTTATTAACATATCCCTTGTGGTTTGATAGTTATTTAACGTTCTTTAGGTGAGCATTACACCCGCCGCATTCAATCGTAAGACATTTTCGTTATTTCAATAGGCATGCCTGACTAATTATGCACTTCGATGCATGTAGAATGAACTTTTATTTATATTCTGCAATTAGTTTGGTAGTCGTAAGTTGTACGGTTTATTAGATATTAGCAATTGTTTGTAACAGTTGACTACATATACGCGAGTACGATGAATAGGGGACTCTCCTATATAATGTTTAATAACTTCTAAACTAAACCGAATATGTTAATAAAAATTATATGAGAACGGAGCTAAGGAAGTTGACTTTCAGACACATACAGCTAGTTGCATGAGAATTTAATAGAAAGCTATGAAATTATTGCGAAAACCGTAAAGATACTTGACTATATGCGATATCGTTCCCGACATCACGTACTAAAATTGTTAATAACTAATTACTGAAAGGGTCTGAAATTTATACGAGAAAGTTGCTAAAGGTTCGCACTTGATTCTTCAATTCTAAAAGTTCAGAAAATCATGGTAATTATTAAGTTATTAATGATTTCTCCCTGACCGACTTGATATAGCGTTCAAAAGGCGGAATTTAGATACCCACGAACCAATAGGAAACGTTTTCTCTCTATCCTTCTCGCATAGTAGTGCGTTCCTTGTCTAATACCTCTGTTCACATTCTGTGTTCTTAATAACAAGCTGTAAGTTCGTCCAGCCAATCGCGAGATGACGTTAGCGTCACTTTTGACAAATTCTCTATCCTTGTCTACCCGTATTCCTTTCCTTGCTTACTCATTTCTCTATTTCTAATATAAATGTATTTGTGTGTAAATAAATAAGTACTACCTCGACGAGTTATCCTTCGTAGTAAACACGACTACTAAATATGTAGGTACAATATTGGATCAAGTAAGTAAGTACTTACGTGGGTAGAACTGTTCACGATCGTTTCACAGCAGTAGAACATGCTCATATGATGAATCATCATCCATCTACTGATAAACAATTACGTTACTTTCTTACTTATAATTTCATAGTTACGTTTAATTCTAAAACCACTGCTAATATTGTAATTTTATTCTATGCTAAATCGGTAACGTTGGGAGCGGTACGAAAGTGGCAAGGGTCTTCTCGCCCCAGTGCCGTGGACATCAAGTCCCATAAGATGTTATTTATTCAAATTACTCTTAATTAATAGGTCCGACAAACCTAAAGTGAAGTCTCTGACGTCACAGCCTGGCAAAATGGAGGCAAAATAGGCGGTTCAGGTCATCCCCACTACTCTTGGGTCTTACACTGCAGGCGCTTGAGGGGAAGTTGCGTTGTACGTGAATGGTTTAGACCAAATCTGCTTAACTTCTTGCTCACGAGCAAATTTCCCCTCCTGAGGTTCCCCCACTATGCGACTGACATGATTTCGCTCGAGTTGGAACGCAGCGGGAGGACGCGAGGAGTCCTCCCACCACAACTCCAGCGATAATTTTTTGGTACGAAATGACTGGTACGGATACGCAGAATGTGTAACATAAACAAAAGGCAGTCGCTGGAGTTGTCGTGGGAGGACTCCCTCTCGCATCCTCACTCCGCGCCGCAACTCGAGTGAGATCATCTCAGTCGCATAGTGGGGGAACCCTGGGAGGGGAAATTTTCTCGTGAGCAAGAAGTTAAGCAGCTCTGTTCTATGTTCTTCCTAGTATTCCTAAGGCGGGAAAATGTCCTGCGCAGCCATGATGCGCGCTGTTATAGGGTGCGCTGCCGTCAGCGCCTACAGGAGACTTATGTTTTTTAAACGGTTTCAAGAGTGCGCCGTTATCGGCGTCTATATGCGCCTTTTCATGTAGCGGTCGTTACAATATTATAATCAATTGATGCTGTCTATATAGTTTTTAGTTGTAAATAATCCTTAAAAGCTCTGTCGATAATATCGTTTCCGACTGAATATTGATTAACCGCCGTTGATTGCCGTATAATATGTTGAACTGTTTGATTCTCTACATATAGTCAGCACTTTTATAAGATTTTCTATTTTGTTTATACGTTTTTCTGCAATTATAATGTCTCCTAAACGAATAGACCGAGGTACACTTAAATAAGGTTTAAATGCATTTGTAGATACATCGTATTCGAAAAGCAACAATGAATTTTTTTGTTTTATGTAATGTAATATTAATAATTTTTCTACTAAATCAAATCAAAGCATTTGCATGTATGATGGTGGTGTGTGCATGTGCGTGCTGTTTTCATTTTATTTGTTTCATTTCTCTATTTCACACTTATTCCATCATTCTTTTCGCACTTTAGCATTATTAGTCTAATATTTAATATATTTTTAGAGTACAGAAAGCAGTTGTCAGATAATACATCTGCAAGAAGCAAAGGGGTAACAACAGGAACCGATGTTAATGGTTCCAGTGGTCATAAGAATTTGAAAAGAAGGAAAAAAGACATTGCATTCACAGGTAAAGAAGAACCTGCACAAAATGAGAAACATTTGATAGCAAAGTTAAGAAATGTGCCCACTAATAATAGTAGCATGAATAATATGCAGCAAATCAATTTGTGTCAGTCGTTATCAGATGACAAGCGTTATTTAAATTCAGACAGCAAAAATACAAAGGGCTCCGATGAATTTGTCAATTCTTCATGTGCCAATTTATATTCAAATAAAACTCTTGAGAAACCGAAGTTGTTAAAACAGTGGTCAGGAAAAACTAGAATGAATTTGTATGCCTCGAAATCATTAGGTAGCCCTATTATAAAGAATGTTACTCCGTACAAGCACAAGATTCCCAAGAAATCACCAGTAAGTGTGCCATCTGCCAAGGCACATCCTATTAGATCTTCAAGAGTATTCAGAACACGGAAAAGATTGACACTGACAGAGAACTCTCTGTCAGAGTTCCAGGGAAATAAGAAATTGCCTAACAATAACAAGATGCAATTAAAGTTGCATGTATCTGATACTGACCTAAGTGCAAGTTGCAGCTTATCCAATCGTTATGCATCAACATTTGTTACGAAAGAAACCAGTAGAAGTACAAGTATGCCTTCAGTTGGTGTCAAGTATAGCACAAGAAGGTTTTCAAAACCTACAAAAATAGTATCAAGGTCTCCAAAATTAAAATTAAGATCCAAAAAGTCAAAGGCATCTACCATTGAGTATTTTCCTTACGTGAATACTAAATTGAAACAACCAATAGTATTGCTCCAAAGACTTCCCAATATTGTTACAATTATGCCATCCTCGTTACCTGTATCATCATCTATGGTAAAGATACGTATAAATGATCGTTTTGGCGATAACAATATAAATGTTTCTCGAAAAATATTCAATTTTGCATTCGATCACCCGCGGCAACTATTAAAAATGTCTAACAAACCAGGCAAAAGACATACTAGGAGTAAAAACTATAGCAACGATGAACAGAACGAAACGTTGTATAAGTTACAAGAAAATACCGGAACGCGTCTCCGCGAAAAATCTCTGAGTGGTAAAATGATGTTAATGCATGAATGTGGCGACGCGAGTCAAACTTCTTCGGGATCTCTTATATCCTCTACACCCAAGGATAAGGAAATACTTAATGAACCAGGGAAGAAATGCAAACGACGAAAAATGTCTCCCGAATGGGATACTACTTCCAAATTAAATAAGTGCAGTACACGTAGCAGTCAAAACGATAATGTAACCGTAACAATGGAAGATGAACAAGAGGGGATGAAAATAAAAAATGAAACCTATGAACTTATCGAACCTAAGACTCCAAATTTACGAAAGCGGTTGCAAGAGAAACGAGATGTTGAAGAAAATAATTTGAACCAGAAATCCGCAAAGAAAAATGTTAAAATACGCTTCACAAGCTCCTCATCAAATAGGAATTCTAATTACAATACTCGATCCGGTGGGCGTTTAAATAAAAAGGACAGATCCGACGATGATCTCAAAAATATCACATCTACAGCTAGCCTGAAAAAGAATATTTTGAAGTCAAGGATAAGTGTTTTCCGTAGGAGATCGAGATCGAATAGCGGCCAAGTCATTCCTACCGTTGATCCCTTTACTCCTTCACAAATTGGCCGCAAATCAACCACTTCTGTTGTTAATGTTAATATCGCTACACCTCCGCAGCAGTTCATGTCCCGTGAGTACTGTCAAATATATTTTACGCTATAAATGCTTTATATTGTAAGGATCATACACACGTTGGTATTTCTATTATTTTGCAGAATTGCATATCGGTTAAAATATAAAACAATATAGATATTCTCATTTATTACAGGTCAAAATACAAAATGGCTCTCTGCGACGAAGAAGGTGCCAAATTTCGCTAATATCCATAACAAGATATTTACCAAATCAGAATCTATTGCAGATGCAAAGAATCGATTAAAAGACAGACACACTGCATTCAGTAATGCGTCATACTTATTATATAGTAGTAGGCTCTACGTTAACGATAAACAATATTTCAACATGCATTTATCTTTTAGCTACGTCGAGGATCAATAAATCAACAAAAGGAGAGATTAACTTAAACGAGGAAGGGGATCAGTTATCGAAGGGTTCAAATAAGGAGACGTACAATCGATTTGGATTTAAGATGAGAAAACGCAAAGCTACCGATTGTATTTTGAGAAATAGTAGTTCACATTCGGCAAGGTAAAAAAAATAATTTGTTATTATCTTTTATATCTTCTTTCCTTTCCTCTCTTTTCTTTTCATAGATGCAAAGAGCAGTGCAGAGCGATTTTGAAGGGCGTAAGAACAAACCGGCGTTTTGAGCTTCAAATGAAACTGAGAAACGTAAACCTTTAAAATATGATATAATTTTGTTGTACAATGTATCCTCTTATTAACCAACATTTTTTATATCTGATGCTGTTTATTGTTTTACATTCTACAGGGAAATACGTATAATATACGCCTGTTTCTTTCTTTTTCACATTTCCCTTTTCCCTTTTCCCTTGTACGTCTACTGGTATTTTACTCCACATATCTAAATGTTGTTTCAATTGTATCTCATTGATGTTTAATAAAGTTGGAGGAAGATGTAGCGAATTTTTTTGAAAATTTTACAAAATTTAAGTCATGGGTTATTGTCAAACTTGCATCTCGAGACAAGGCGTAGGGCACGTGCGCGCGCGTTTGCGTGTGTGCGTGTGTGTACATTGTCGATACAAAAGAGGCATACATTTATCAAACTGATACATACTCGGTTAAATTACCAGATAATATGATAAAATTTACAATTATGAATAAACATTTATTTAAATGAAAATTGTTAATTTTGCATATTTAACAAGAACATCGGACGATTCTTGTTAAAAGTGTTTTTAATGTTACACCCGCAAAGGAATGTATTTATCGTAGCGCCCCTCAGTTTTCAAAGAACTACGAATAGAATTGTACGGGGAATTACGTTGCAAACAGCTGTTTGTACCCAAAAGTTTAGTAAAGTTGACGGAAAATATTTTCTGAGCGTTTTAAAATAATCGTAGTAGACAAAACTGAAATAAATAAGTTACTAATTGTAAATGTGGCACCTTATCGAGACAAATCATATTTAATTTTGGGGGCATTTGTGTTTACGAGAAAAGTATCAAAATGGTATCTTTGAAAGTTTCGTTCGTGTTAGCTGTCAAATGAACACGCATGTAACCTAAAACGCGTGAATTTTAAGAAATTACTGACACTATAGCAATGGATGTTGTAACAACAAGCCTGGAGGCTCTAATACGTAAGTTAAAATTTTATACGTTTGTAACTATCTTTAATGCTCACTATTACAAAAACCTTTATCTATATTATAGACGTTAAGTTGTGGTTAGTTAGTACATCAAATATGTATTTTTCCGACTAACATTGGACTACGTAATACATCTTTTCAATTTTTTTTTTCCTTTAACTTTCTCTCCCCATTTTTTTTTCTTCTTTTTTTTTCTCGTAGAAAGGGTAACAAATCCGCAAAATCAAAAACCCGATATAGCGGCAACCGAAGCATTCTGTGTAATGCTTATTAAAGAAACAGAAGGTATTCAAATCGGAACTAAATTGCTAGCTATGCGCATTCAGTCATCTAACGAGTCTGAAGCACTTCAAGCTCTCACAGTAAGTTTCCTGTCCAACCTGATAAGAAATTCGATAACAACGAAAAAGTTATTTTGCCTTCCTTTTTTTATTCGGCTTACTTTTATTTATTGTTGAAAAATTAATACTTTCCAATGATGCAAGTTAAAATGAAACATAATTTCTGCTTGTAAATCACTATAAATATTAAATGAATAAAAATTCTATAACTCTTACATGATACTTTTCATATGACAGTTATTGGACACATGTATGAGGAGATGCGGGCCATCTTTTCACGCAGAAATTGGTAAATTTCGTTTTTTAAATGAAATGATTCGTCTAGTTTCACCAAAGTATTTAGGTGGTAAAACACCAATCATGGTACGGCAAAAGGTATTGCAATTACTACATACATGGACAAAAGAATATCCAAAAGAATTAAAAATTAAAGAAGCCTATGAAATGTTGAGAAAGCAAGGTGTTATCGAGGTTAGTTCTATATACTTTTTATCCAAGTTTACTCATTTTTTATCCCCTTTTTTAAAATGGGCAAATTTTACATGTACATTTAGGATGATTGTATATCTATAAATAACACTCAAGAGGAAGGATTAAAAGTGTCGAAAACTAAGAGTACAATATTTGATGACGAGGAGAAATCTAAATTGTTACAAAAGCTACTACAGAGCAAAAATCCTGATGATCTACAAGCTGCGAATAGATTAATTAAAACTATGGTGAGAGAGGTAGGTGAACAGTATTTGAAATGCTGCAGAGTTTTATAAAATAAATTGATCACCATTTCATAGGATGAAAGAAGGGTACAACTGAACTCACGTAGGATAATGGAATTAGAATCTGTTCATAACAATGCAAAATTATTATCAGAAATGTTAGACTCTTATAATTGTAATGAAACCAGTAAAGAAGACCTTGAATTGATGAAGGAGTTACATCAAGCCTGTGAAAGATTAAAACCAATTGTACTGAAGTTAGCAAATGAAACTCAAGATAACGAAGGAATGCTTGGTAAATATCTTAAAATATTTGAAATTCTATTGAAAAATGTAAACGTTATTCTTTTACATCCGTCGTAAAATTGCCTATCCACATTTTCATTAATATTCATTATAAAAGAAGCTGTATGTTCAACAATCTACATTAGGTGATGTGCTTGCTGCAAGTGATGAATTGGAACAAGTGTTTGAGAAATACACCACTGTCATAGTTCGTGGTGAACGTGTAAACGCAAAGACAGATTTCGACATTAGTCCGTATTTATTAGATCTGTCTACTCCAATAGAGAACGTTCCTCTTGAAAGTGGTGGTATAAATGCAAGTTATGATACAGTGGTAGCAAATCATCAATCAGATATGGAAGTTTTAGGAGACATCTTTAATTCGTTTGGAAAACCTGAAAATTCCGAAGTTACTTCGATTTCTAATGCAAGTCTTTTAATGACCGATTCAGTTATGCAGCCACTCAATGTTTTACCTAAAAGTAAAAAAGGTCCGTGAACGTAAAATGCAACACACACATGCTCTGTCGATTGAATAATAACGTTGATACATTAAACAAGTCGAACGTTTTTAGTAGTGAATATGACCGATTACTAAAATGAACAAATGGTCAATAACGTTCCATTTTCAGATGAATTAATCAACGTGTCTGAAAAGAAAATTGACAGTAAAGCAAGAGCACTGGAGGAGTTGAATGAATTGGGAGAATCTTTGCTTAAGCAAAGTTTATCAGGCACAGTGTCCAATTCACGTTTGAAATCGGGAAGGTTGGTGAATAATATATACGCGTGAAATTTCGTAAATGTCTGATTATACAAGGTGATTTACCTAACTCGACGACCTGAAATTGCTCGCAAACTATTCGCTGTACGAAATAGTGTATGACGCAAAAGTTGAATGATTTCAAGAAGGACATATGTCACAATAATTATTTTTTCTACATTGTTTTTATACATAAAGTTTTGAAGATCAGCAGGAATTAAAAGATGAGTAAATAAATATGATCGAATTTACACGAAAACACGCAGAAGTATATCTCTCTACCTGTAAATTTCATTTCAATAGGATAGAACTTCTATCGTAAATATCTCAATAAATACTCATTTTCGACATATTAGGCCTTCATATTTATTTACTCAGCTTTTAATTCCCTTTTAATATCCGGCAAGAAATATAGGGTATTCAATTAAAAAAAACCGTGGTGACTTTTAACACTTTATGTGTAAAAACAATGTAGAAAAAAATAATTATTGTAACATATGTCCCCCTTGAAATCACTCAACTTTTACGTCATGCACTATTCCGTACAGCGAATAGTTTATGAGCAATTTCAGGTTGTCGAGTTAGTTGAATCACCTTGTATATCGCGTGTCTTATTTTACTAATCTATCTACTTCTTTTCTCTCTCCCTTCTGTTTTCCATTCGCATAGTAATCAAGGTATAATTCGCACATCGAATATTGAACCTTCAGCAGAAAATTATGATCAGGCGATTTTTCCTCGTGGTGGCAGTTCTTCACATTCTTCTGATTCATTAAAGACTACAAACGTGAAAAATGACAAAACGTGTAATATTCGTTTCGTATCAAACATTAATGTTCCATCTCAAGACGGTACAAATTTTAAAAACGTCATGGACTGTAATGTAAATGATAAGCTCGATACGAATCGATGCAACGATCGATTAAGCACATGGGACGCTATTTCATTAACATCGTCGATAGAAAATTCCCTTAATCCAGAACCTGAAATCAAACCGTTAACAGACATTAATATTAGCCTTCAAGATATAAAACCAGGTAATCGTTATTCTTATATTTATTTATTCTTTTTTCTGTTATTAGTAACATAAAACTACTCTTATCTAGCCTAATTACATTCATACAGTAACATTTGCTTCATTTTGCCTTAGATAATCCAAGACAAGATGTGTTTGTTGTAGTGATTACAACAATGAGTAAGAATTTAAAGCCGCTTAGCAATTACTTGTTTCAAGCAGTGGTGCCAAAAGTAAGTTTCGAATATTTATCAAGTTCTTCATAATTTTCTATTATTGTTAACGCAACTACTAAACAGCGCTGTTATACGAGAAGATAATCACTATTTTTTGGTTTCAGAGATGTAAATGTAGACTCCAGCCACCTTCTGGAACTGGATTGCCTGGTCATAATCCATTTCTTCCCCCATCGGCAATTACTCAAATTATGTTAATTGCAAATCCTACTAAGGTGAAAACAATGGCATTACTTTCGTTTTAAATTTCAAACAATCAGCAACATTTTTTTAACGTCATCTAATTTTTGTTGCAGGAAACAGTATCATTGAAGTTCATGTTAAGTTACACAATGGACGATGAAACATTCACAGAAATGGGAGAAGTAGAAAAATTGCCTTTAGTTTAATGTACTTAAAGTGTATTAAAAAAAGGAAAAAATACAGATCCCAATAGTTAGAAAAAGGATTATTTTGCAAAATTGGATTTTTAGAATTGGTTAAACGGGTAGATATGTATATATATATTAGCACATAAAATTATTATTATTAGTTTTTTTTCCTTGTGAGGTCTCGTAATTGTAGACAATTTTATGTTTAATGGCATATTCGAAGATAAAATTAATATTATGTGCACATGTATAAAATCACTTCATGGTTTACATATGTATATGCTTGGAAATATGTAAAACTATTTTAAGACTGGGATTGAACTAAATAATATACAAGAGAACACATTGTAAGATCATATGCAATAAAATCGAAAAAAGAAAACGGAAGACACGAGTAAAAAGAAAAAACAGAAGAATCACGTAGTGTGACACAAATTATGGACTAAGAGGACATTCCTTATTATAGTTGTACCAAAACACAATACTTTACTCGAAAGTTATAAAAATTAAAATAAATGTACGACCTATTTAGGAGACAGACAGTACTTCGTCACGGAATGCAAGAGCAGTGACTGCTTTTTGATGACCTTGATATTCTCGTTCTACTGCTCCTGTCGACACGTTCCATAATCTTGCAACACCATCGGACGAAGCTAAATTAAATAAAATGTTGAAATTGAACGTACAAAAAACGATAATAAGAAATAAACAGAAAATATGTTGTTACCGGTAAATATGTATTGTGAATCAGCGCTAAATGCAGCATCCCAGACCCATCGCTTTGCCTCATGTTGAAGTACTTGCACTTCTGAAAAATCTGTAGTTTTCCAAACTCGAGCAGTCTGATCGGCAGATGTAGTTACTAGAAGTCTGTGAAAAAGAAAAGATGATCGTGGACTGTTAATAAAAATGTCCACATGATTATATATGAATATTTTTTGATTGTATGTTGATATATTTAATACAATGTACTTACGTAGAATCGGGACTAAATTTGCATCGAAGCGCATAACGTTTATGCGCCGAAAGTTTGTGACGAGGATTAAGACGTGTAGGTTCATCGCCTACACCACCCGTGAGTGTCCAAATGTAACAATGACCTTTGTTATTCACCGCTGCCATACACGTTCCATCTTGATCGATTGCAACGTCTTGCACGGACGCTTCGGCCTCTGGTATCTTTACATGAAAAACAATTATTTCAATAAACTGAGATGGAATTAAAATTGATCGATTCACGCATTACTATTACTGACGAAACAAAACATTTCCTAGTCATGCTGCTAAGTTTATTTTGCAGATTTTGTACCAGTTGTTCATTATGATCTGAACGTAGGTCCCATAAATGTATAACGCCGCTTTGATCACCAACAATAAGTTCTGCTTGATTAGGATGCAAACACACACAATTTACAGGAGCTGATACTTGAAATATTCTTTGACATTGGAAGCTACTCGACCTGCAATTTTCATGTTAATATTCCTCTTCTTCCTCTCGTTCTTATCATCATCGTCGTATTTTTATTTTTTATAATATACATATTCTATGGAAAGTTAGTGCGGTGCTCTAAATTGTAAATATTTACCTAAGATCCCAAATTCTTGCTGAACAATCTTCACCTCCAGTATACATCCACTTACCCTCTTCCTAAACATAATAAGATGTACTGAAAACCTTGCAATAATCTCTACTATAAAAATGAAAGCAACTAAATAAATTATAATGATGAAACACCTGAAAACCTAAACCTGTAATATTCTTTGATACACCTTCATAATTAATAATTGGATTTGGATTATTTGACACCAAGTCATACATCCTTATATGTTGATATCCAGCAGCTGCTATTAGATATTTATCTGGTGTAATGTCTAACGCATTGACTTGCTAAAAATAAAAGAGCTTTACACAATAATAAAACTCTAAATAAGTAAAATTTAATGCTGAACATCAGAAGATTACCGAGTCTATGTGTTCTGCTGTGCGTTGGCAAACTCCTGTATGAGGTTGCCATATTTTGATAGTGTGATCATAACCACCTGTTACAAGGATAACTTGTTCGTTGCTGTTAGTATTATCCACAGTCATTTGATAAAATGTAGATGTGACCAAAAAACTAATTACAGTGCTTTCCTGTCTTTATTATTCCCCTTCTATCTCACACTTTCCGTTAGATCCCCTTGTTTTTTTGTATTTTTATCTTTATGCTTTCAATGACCTTATCCTTGCGTATTCCTAAGTAAGTATGTTGATTGCAAAAGTCAAACGTTGAATAGACATCCGATAAAACTTAAAAATGATTGAAGGTTGATTTTAACTTTTTCTAAGTTTGTAATGATTTTTTCACTTTACATTGTCCCCTTTCGTCTTTTATACCACACATTTGATATAAATACATGCTTACATACATACCTTCGAATACGTTAATTGTGGGTACATCGCATTGTACTGGAGGTTATATTATGAAAATAGATTTCTTTCATTTAATACACTACTTTTATGACACTATTCGTATTATTTAAAGGTATAGAGTGTTATGATAAAATACTTAACAACTAAAATGTGCTAAAATAGGAAGAGTTTTCCGTTTTAGTGAAACGATTCATTCATATTTATTTTTATAACTCTTTTTCTTTGAGCAACTTGACAGGGAAAGTTGTCACAAACTGAAAGAACTATAGATGTAACTACACATTTTTAATTAATATTGTTATCTATTCAAAGACATATGACTGTCATTTGAAATTTGAACGAGACGTTACATTTGACACGAAAATCTACATCTACGCGTTATGTGTAAATAAATTGAAACAATTTATCGTATTATTACTATAGTATATTTTTTGAGTGCTCGTCATATTTATAGCAGTATTTTCTATAACTAGCAGTGCGAATATTCAACTCTTTCTTCCACTTTTTGATCGAGAAGCGTCAACTTGAAATCGTAACATGTTTTTCAAGATAAACAGATATTACATTCGCTTAAGTTAAGAAAAATTCAAATATTTACATTAAACAAGAAACTATAGATTTTCCTAAAAAATTTTTGACTTTTATTAATCGAAAATCATTCAAACCTTGAACATAAGTTTACACGCAATTTACGTACATATACTGTACACAGGACACAGGATTTCTAAGAATACAAATCTTTCGTATAAAAGTATAACTAATAATTGTTTATTCCCATTTACAAGTAATTAAATCAAGTGTACTCTAATCCTGGATCAAAGAATTTGGTTTTTATATTTATAATTACAAACATGTATTTTTCTTTATCGCTGGTCAAAATCAGAAAAAAATTCTATCCATTTTCAAGTTTGTCGTAATGGCAGCACGTGTTATAGTGTACATATTTTACAATGGTATTTTCGTATTTGTCGATCTCTAAAATAAAAATATTCATAGAAAGAGAAAGGAATTCTCTTTATGTCAAAACTTATCATTGTTCTGTTTTTAACTTTCCTCTTTAACGTATTAACAACCTAAAAATGTTATTAACGTAGAAAAAAAGTATGACTAAAAGAGCATAAATGTCAAGATATCTCTTAAAATATTTTACACAAAAAGGAAGTGTAAAGGAAATTAATATAATTGTTAATTGATATCTCTTAATCGATATAATTACATTCTATTTTCTCATTTCGTTAATCTCACGATCATTCTTTCTTAGCTTCTATACTGGTTCTTCCTTCATCTCTCCTTGAATTTTTTATACTTTCAACCAACAAGAATCGATTGAATGTATCCTTGTTGATAAGCCGACTTGACAGTAATCACAGTAATGATATACCTTCAGGATATCTTTATCTCGTCATGTATGAAATGATGAAGTGCCGAATTGCTGAACTTAATGAAACTATCCAACCAAATCTGACAAATCGGGTTTATAGATAACATCATATATACCGGTATGAATATACATTTGCATGTAGCGCGAATTTGTATGCATATTTATACGGAGTTCGTTTCGGTGTAATGTTTTTATATGCGACACAACTTTAAATGAAGAATGAAGTGTTGTTTTCTCGAAAAAAGTGATATTTACAAATGATTTACAGAATATGTTACAGTCTTTTCTTTGGTAAAGATCCGAAAGCGGATATTACCGTTGCTTTGGTACCAGTCGCAGATGATGTTAATGTTGTAAGAGTTGGTTGAGATAACAGCACAGTTGGCTTTACCGAGGCAGTGGTTCCCGTTGCAACTTGATCCCATTTACTTTTTCTTTTCTTAGCATCATCTTCAGTTGTACTAGAATTATTGGGCCGCTTAGCTGTACCAGAAACAATTTCGATTTTTGTTTTCTCTTTCCTAGCTTTTTCAAGTTTGTCCATCTCAGCCTTTTGAACTTTGGCAAGTTCCTCGTAATAAGAATCTTTACCCCACTTGAACGGGTCAAATCTATCTGGAGGATAATTAGTACCCAATTCATTAATACTACAAAATTGAATGAGCTTTTCATAAATAGATGGATTTCTGAAATCCTTTCTCTGTTGTATAACTTTGTTCATATCCAAACCACCACTCTCCATTTTCCTAAAAAGTTTCGTTATTTTCTCCTGTAACTCCACAGGACACTGTCCCGGCGGCTCTGGTGGTATAGTGACGCCATATGGATCCACCTCGCTATCTGAAACTAATTGTTCTCCTTGACAACAGGGTGAGCATTCCGTAATCGAGGAGGGCCTTCCATTTTCAAAAGGCTGTCCATCGACCGGTGCCTGCACCACTCCTTCGTCATCGGAGACTATTGTATCATCAAAGTATGAAACCAATCTCTGCACCTTAGATGTCACATCAGTTACTAAGGTGGGCGCGTTCGACAAATCGTTACTAGACTTGCCACCGACGTTGGGAGCAACAACGGGACTATTTGAGGCTGATGTGCCAGATTTGGGACTGGTGAAAGCCTGGGGCTGACCGACTTGGGCATTATGCGGGGCGGCCCCCTGGGGAGTGTTCGAATTCTCCTGAAGGTCGTCTTCCACCCCGTCTTCGCCCTCCGAGTCGGTATAGGTGGCCGTGAGAGATGCCAGAGCAACACTTTGTACAGACATGGTTAGTTGGCTTTGAGTGTCCGCCGTACTACCAAGCAATATTTTGTGTTGGAACTCACCGGTCTAGCGTTGAGTTGTACGCCTTTTAGTTGTAGGGCTTTTATGTATGTAAATATGCCTTATATATCAACATTAACTATGCTCCAATGTTTGTTGGAATGTTTATTACTATACCGTATCTGAAACAAGAATTACAATAGTATAGCTTACAGCTTAATTATAATCATGCCCTCAAGCCAAATTTATACACTTCATAAAAAAGCTTATAAATGCTTTATTATCTAGAATCCATAAATATTAAAATAATAGAAAAGAAAACAAAGAAAGAGTAGGAGAAAGTAATGTGTCTCTTGCATATTTAGTAGACATGTACATTTTTCGATTCCATGTTACATACAATGAATTTTATCAATACTTTTGTTGTTTGCAATAACTGTGCAAACCGTTGTTCTCTTTCGTAAAAATTGCACCGTATAACTTAGAATCAACTGACAAGCACAGCAGGTTATGTCGCTAACGATCAAAACTCTGTACTATAGCCACAACCAACCTGACTATTCAAATCCACAATTTCTCTGCTTACACTATACCTGATTTTCCGTTCATTGTGCTAAATTTACAATGTATTATTCCCCACTTAATTATTGTTTCGTTAATTAAAGAAGTTAAACGCTATCAAAGCATACCATGGGGTATTCTATGTTCCTGAATTTTTTGATTTACACTGATGCGCGTGCGCAAAACTAATCAAATATACTTATGTATGAATGCTATTATCGGGGGGGGGGGGGGAGAAAAAAATAAAAAAAAAAGATATTAAATCTTGAAATTATATAGTATAATTTCGGTACAGGTCTATACCTCGTCTGTGGTTTAGCGTCTTACGCGACGAATCAGAGTTTTTTCTTTTAATTAATAAACATATTTAGAAACCATCGTTACATCTATTACATCTATCGTTACAACTTTACAGTACAATTTTTAAGAATAGAAGAGCTCCCGTATAGTATATACAGCTAATGTATAATTGAAATGCATCAGTTTCATCTGCCTCTTTTCTTTTTCATCCTTTCATAAATTTTTCATTATTTCTTCGATACCGTATTGCAAAATTGGTATATATTTGAAAAATACCAAGCTTCACGCAGTAGTGTATATTTTTAACACTTTCGCTTCCATGCAGGCGCTTTGCATTTTTAATAAAAACATAACATACACAATTACTAAATTATTATAAAAATTAAAAATAGTTAACAAGTGATTGCTATTCGTAAAAAGAAATATTCAATAATATCGAAAAGTTCATGTAAAACATACTGCAATATACATGTATGCGATAACCGATACCATGGCACATTGCTTATTTGAGTTAGGCACCTATCATGCTGGTTTTCAATGTCTGTATAGAGTATGCGCATGCGTATGTCATTTTATTGACACGTTGGCAGTGTGATGAAATTCAGTGATCAATGAACGGTGAATCGGTCGGTGGGTATGTGTTTCTGCTGACATACGTACAACATATAAAATCTGCGTGTAATTCGATAGAAATTGGAAGAGCTTTCCGTAATTTTAACACCGTTAATCATGGTTCTGGATTTAGATGTTTTCCGAAATGATAAAGGCTTTGATCCAGATAAAATACGGGAGAATCAAAAGAAACGTTTTAAAGCAGTAAATTTAGTAGACACGGTGATTGAGAAAGATAAAATTTGGCGACAGCTGCGACACAAAGCTGACAATTTAAATAAGTTAAAAAATGTATGCAGTAAAGAGATCGGAGAGAAAATGAAAAAAAAAGAAGCAGTGGATGGTGATGACACTGTTTCGAAGGATATACTTGAAAATTTGGAAAATTTAATACCTACTAACCTGAAATCGTTAACAGTCGCACAAATTAAAACTATTCGTAGTTTTATCGATGATGCTATTCGAGCAAATGATAAAGATTTAATCTCGACAGAGTCAGAAAGAAATTGTGCTCTTAAAGAAATAGGAAATATCTTGCATGAGTCTGTACCAGTTAGTAATGATGAAGAAGAGAATAAAGTATACAAAAATTTAGTACAACAGATTTTTTATGTATTCCATTGTCAATATGGATATTGTAAAATTATTACTTTTAATTCTAGGTTGAGAGGACTTGGGGAGATGTTACACAGAAAAGAAAATATTCTCATGTTGATTTAATACATATGATTGATGGTATAGATGGAGAACGCGGTACTAATGTTTCCGGTGGACGTGGTTATTTTTTAGTAGGACCAGCAGTTTTTCTACAACATGCATTAATACAACTAGCCCTTAGAGAATTATCAGTAAAAGGTTACAAACCACTTTATACACCTTTTTTCATGCGTAAGGATGTTATGCAGGAAGTAGCACAATTATCTCAATTTGATGAAGAATTATACAAGGTATACAATGAAGAATTATTCATGCATTTATAGAAACAGTAATTATCTTATTTAACATTTTGTGCTATTAGGTGATTGGTAAAAATAGTGAACACAGTGACGATAAAGAAATTGAAGAGAAATATTTGATTGCTACATCTGAGCAACCAATAGCTGCATTTCATAGAAACGAATGGATTCCTGAAAATGTTTTACCAATTAAGTATGCAGGATTGTCTACGTGTTTTAGACAAGAAGTCGGATCTCATGGACGTGATACCAGAGGCATTTTTAGAGTTCACCAGTTTGAAAAAGTAATTGCAATTTCACTGTTTATTACTTCATGTAATGAATGCAACATAAATGTACATATCAGATAGGTATATACAGGATGGTCCACACAATTGTTACAAGTCACATCAGTCACAGAAGTATTCGTACCCTTTTTAAAACAGAATAACTTTTTTAAAATTGGACCAGAAGGACGCTAGATATGTGTACAAAAAAATTTTACTATTTTCTTTGCGGTTCCGAGCAATTGTAATATTTTCAAATTTTTCTTACAAAGGTCATTTCTTACAACTTCTTTATCTGAGCCTGTAATGAAAATTTAAAAAATACGTTTTGTAGATTTATGCCAGTTACATACATGCTGAAAGTTTCATCGAAATCGGTTAATGTTGTTATGACTTACAAACGGTTAGATACCAAAAATCGCAGATTTTCACGTATTTCGGACTACAACTGTAATAAATCTAACGATTCTTACATCTTTCGATATATTTCCAATGAACCTTCAAATTTGATTTAAAAAAAAATTTTTTAGTAAGACCATTATGTCGTCGCTATAGTATTTTCTTGAATTTTCATTAAAATATTTTTCGCTATCGTCACGAACTTATGGGATGACCTTATATAAATATATGGACGGATGACAGGTGGAACAATTCTGTTTAACATCACCATATGATGATAAATCTTGGCAAATGATGGAAGAAATGATTTCAAATGCAGAAGAATTTTACAAAACTTTGGAGATTCCTTATCGTATAGTAAATATTGTATCAGGTGCATTGAACAATGCTGCTTCAAAGAAACTAGACTTGGAAGCATGGTTTCCAGGATCGAGTGCTTTTCGTGAACTTGTCTCGTGCAGCAATTGTTTAGACTATCAAGCAAGACGTTTACTGGTCAGGTAATAAATTGCATAATACACCCATGCTTGGTTAAATTGAAAGGAAATCTGCTCGGTCAAATTGAAACGAATCATCATCATCATCTCTACTCTTCTCCCGCCACTCAGTGCCTCGAGGTTAGCAAACCTAAACACATCGACAAGGGAAGCGAATAGATTTAACGAGAATAAGCGACACGCAGCAGTTGAAAGACATACCGCTAATGAATCAGCCAATATCAAAAATACCAATTTTTTAAATTTTCATTCTATCTTTATAAAAGTAATACTAATGAATTGGATGATTTATTGCAACGCAGGCGGCATCCCTGTCAAGTGCCAGGTCTCGAACGTCACCTGCCCGATGCCTGGACTAAGTCTATCTCGCTTACCCTCGTTTTGTCTATTCTCTTTTTTTTTTTTTTTTTTTTTTTGAGCAACGACACCGTGTAGACAGTGAATTAATCCTCGTGGCCAGTTATTCCCGGGTAAGTTTCAAGGGAGAGAGAACAGGACTGACGAGTAATGCGTTAATGTCATGCGCGTTTCTACGGCTCGTTGGGCTTGATATTTTGAAGTAACTTTAATGCACGGAACGGACCCGATTTTGTTCAAATTAACCGATCATGGGTGTAATAATCACTGGTCCCAATACAGGTTTCGTTTTATATGTAATTATAACCATGCTACTACCGTTACTATTCTTATTGTTTCCATTATTGTTACACGCGAATCATTATACTGATATATTTTAGATATGGTCAAACCAAGAAGATGAATGCAAATACAGATTACGTTCACATGTTAAACGCAACAATGTGCGCTGTTACTCGTGTTATATGCGCAATCTTGGAAGTGCATCAAACTGATACTGGTATTAAAATACCCAAGGTTCTCGCAAAATTTATGCCAGCGCAATACGAAAATGAAATTCCGTTTGTTAAACCAGCCCCTATCGATGAAACCGAAGTAAAGAAACAAAAGAAACAAAAGGAACGGAAGGATATAATCTTAACCTAAGTTTTAATTATCTTACAGATAAAAATGAAGTAACAGATTCAGCTATAATCGAAGTATTATAGTAGTTAAATTCAATGTGCTCATAAAATCGAATGATCGGTTGCTATATTTGACGAACAGATTTTTCATAAACGTATTAGAATACCGCTAAGATTTTTTTATTAACTATGTAAAAACACAGATACACAAATTGTTATTTATTTCGCTTGAATACCTTTTAGCCCGTATTCGAACAGCCACGCAATGAAAGCATTCAGGTATATTTTGTGATAATTATGTAATAAAACCTGAAGAGCAGTGTAATTGACACAGTTATTTAATCGTTTGACTTTTCCAGAAATCTCTTCCTTTCTTCTGCTCTTTTTAGATTATTCAATACAAAATGTTCAAATTCAATATCTGACATACTTTGGTTTACCTGCTATACAAAATTTATATCCAACATTAATAGCTTTTTATTTACATAATACGAGAGGAAGTATTATTCTTGACTTACCCCATTTTTTGCGAAATTAATAACGTTACAAGCAATTTGTTCAGCGGGAACACCCGATTCTTTTGGTGCATGCCACAATTTTTGAAGTTTAAGAGGATTTTGTGCTAAACCGAGTTCTGTATTTACAGCTATTTCCTAGAGAAAGGTATAATTTTGTTATTCTTAAAATATGAAATAATTCTATTTCCAACATCATAGATGAATACATACTGCATCATTCTTCCTTTGATACTCTACTAATGCTCTGCCTTCTCTAGCAGAAGAAATAACAAGGGCAGTTATGTCACCATACTAAAAACAAACACTTGTATAAGAAGCAAAATAATTAAAAATATGTCTATGTTACAGTAACAATATCTCATTCTTATCGGACTTCCACTTCACTTTTACCTTATATGAACCACAGTCAACTTCTGATTCTTTGTAAAACACTCTTAACCGTTCTTCAAGGTGTTTTTTCATAAATGCTATTTCTTCCTCTACTTGCTTTGATCCTTCCATTTGTAATCGTTCTATTTCTGCCTGCAATCACAAAGCTACAATAATGACACACAGGGTGAAAGATTATGATAAATTTGTCAAGGATAAAATGTACCTGCAATTTATCTTTGTCACATTGAACATTATAATCTGCATCCAAAGTTTGTTTGTAAGCTTTCTCTCGTGCTTCTAAATCTTCTTTTAATTTCTTACGCTTTGAATCAAACTCTTTAACACGTAACTTTGCTTGATACTTGGCATTAATAACTTTATCATAAGCTGCCTTATATTGTGAAAATTAAAATGATATTAGCAATAAGAAAAATAAAAAATATAATGACAAGTTGAAAATAATATTAATTTTTTTATATTTACCCGAGCAGACACATCAGTAAGAATTTCTAATGCTCGTGACAATTCATGAAATAACTCGGCTGCTTTTGGATTATTTGGATTTTTGTCAGGATGGCAGCATAATGCTTTTCTACGATATGCTTTTTTAATCTGAAACAAAATTATACGTTGGAAAAATGTACACTTACTATTGCATTGTATCATATTTCGAAAATACATCAAATGAAATTTGAACCGTTACAACGCAAAAGTTTTGCACCTCTTGAACTGAAGCTGTTTTTTCTACACCGATTAATTCATACAGATCTGATTCCATCAGAGAATCCATTTTTTTTTCGCTTGCTTATATTAAAAGATTTTATCTTTTGCAAAAAGAATCTTCGAATGTCCAACTTCGAAAGAGGTTAAATTTTTATTTGATTTCAGTTACATTTGATTTTTGTTTATTTCACTCTTTTACTCTAAACTGATTCTGTAATTACTTTTCGATTACATCTATTAATTTGTACTAATGAAGGCTTCTAGTTTTTGTTACTAAATAAATTATAAAAGTGATTCATTGTCAATAGATACTTCTCACTAGTGAACGATATACTTTCATGCAAACAAATCTTCTACTGCCCTCTTTACATTATCACAAAAAGCTATTACTGGTGCTTATATTAGTCAGCTGATGTATATTCAATAAAAACAAAATATGTAAATTTGTGCACCTCATTCTACGCATATATCGAATGGTAAGCTATTACGTAAAATTGTAAAACGAAAACAGATATTCAACGACCATCGCAATAGAAACTTGGACATTGTCAACTAAACAGCAATGATTGAGAAAGTTTTCTTGAGGTGTGGAAAACATATGTACTCTCGAAATGTATTACAACAGGTAAGCCTAAAAAGCGTAAAAGTGAGAATGAATGCAAAGAATATTTAATCCGTTTTATTCAATGAATTTAGGTTCAACAATTTTATAATAGTCCAACTACCAATATCAAAATTGGTACGAGCATCAATGCAGGTGATCCATCTTTCTTAGGAATTCAAACCAGTTTTTCCAGTGAATTAAAGTTCATTAATAAAGAATGCTATGATTCTTTACCATTATTTAGAATCTTAGACTCATCCAAACATGTACGATTACCTGAAGATTTCAAGGTTTGACTTGCAAATGTTTATGACATATACATACAAAATAAAATCTGTATTCCAATTTACCATTTATGTGTTTCTCTTCTTTCATCTAAGTTAGATGAGCAAACTTTTATTAGAATGTATCGAAAAATGATTACTCTGAATATAATGGACAAAATTCTCTATGAATCTCAACGGCAAGGACGTATATCATTTTATATGACCAATACAGGGGAAGAGTATCGGGAAGCTGGTAGAAAATATTGATATGATATTTCTTTTCTTTTGTTTAATAGCGCAAAATGAATATAAAGTGATATGAAATAATTTTATAGGTGTCTTGTTATGGCGTGGCCATTCTATCAGGGATTTCATGAATCAATGCTATGGTAATCACAAGGATACTTCAAAAGGAAGGCAAATGCCTGTTCATTATGGATCAAAAAAATTGAATTTTGTTACTATTTCATCTCCCTTGACAACACAATTACCTCAAGGTACACAGTAATTATTAATTGTCACACTGTATAACAATTTTATTAAAAAAGAAATGAAGGAAAAGAACATAGGTTTTTAATCTATATATAAATTTTGTTCATTTTCAGCTGTAGGTACTGCATATGCATTTAAACGATCTAGAAAAGGGGTATGTGTCGTATGTTACTTTGGTGAAGGAGCTGCTAGTGAAGGAGATGCTCATGCAGCTTTCAATTTTGCAGCAACTTTGGAGTGTCCAATTGTTTTTGTGTGGTAAAGTTAATTATGTAATGTATAATATAGCGAAAGGAATATTGTCTAATATAGTGAAAAGAAATATGAAGAAATACCAAACACCTACAAAAATGATTGCTTAGTTTTATCTTTATGTTTATAGTCGGAATAATGGTTATGCAATTTCAACACCTTCTTTAGAACAATTTAAAGGGGATGGAATTGCAGCAAGAGGTCCAGCTTATGGGATATACACAATTCGCGTAGATGGTAATGATATTCTTGCCATGTACTATGCAACAAGAGCTGCTCGCGAACTTTGCATCATGGAAGGAAAACCTGTTTTAATCGAAGCGATGAGTTATCGGTATAAAAGCATGTTTCTCATATACATATATTATAGACTGATTCTGTAAAACATTTAGTAATGTATCCTTCTTATTTTTTTCTTCTACTTCAGAATTGGTCACCACAGTACTTCCGATGATAGTACTGCATATCGATCGATTAACGAAATAGATCAATGGAAACATCATACACCAATAATCAGATATCGTGATTATTTGGAATCAGTTGGTCTGTGGTGTGAGCAGCGAGAACAGGAATTAAATAAATGCGTAAAAAATTCTGTTTTACTTGCTTTTGCAAAAGCAGAAAAAGAACTTAAACCATGTTGGAAAGAGTTATTCACAGACATATATCATACAATGCCAAAGCATATACGGTATGTTTGTAACTTGATTAAATTTAGAATTTACAATGTACATTTGTAGATATTCTTTAAAGCATATTATTCGTATTCTATTAATTTCAGTAAACAGATGTGCTCAATGGAGGATCATGTTACAGAATTTCACAAATATTATCCATTACACCTTTTCAAACAAACATAATAATAATAAATTTAATAAATCGTTTCAACAAAATACAAATAATTAATTATATTTACCAATTTATATTAATATCTTGTATTTTTTGTATTATATAATAATAAAATATGCACATGTGAGTACATCTCCTTAGAAGCTCTTGTTTTCTGCTATTTCTTTATACTTTTGCATTCTATATTCCTTTCTAGCTGCATCAAGTAACATATTATGAAGTAAATTATACTGATGTGGATTGGACTGTTCTACAGTGGGATACACATTTCCTAAAATTAACAGTTTACGTTAATCACTTTCAATCATAAATTGCAATGAGTATACAAATGAATGATAATATTTTTAATCAAATATACCTTTTAATTCTAATACAGCCCTTTTATATCCAAACCCAGGATATATACATGGTGCATTATGAATCTTTGTAAACGAAGTTGTATAATTTTGATATCTTGGTACAAGTACTTTGAAAAGCTTATGAATAAGTTGTTTCTCTAGTATCCAAAAATTTGCAAGCTCCATCGTTTCTTTGTGTTCAGGTCCATAACGCAATGCTTCTGAGATTAACTGCAAAAAAGAAAATAGTTATTCATTTAACCAAAAGGATCGATTAGTTTACAGGATACATACTCGTTCAACATAACCTCTCGTTTCGTCTGCTCTCGCGTAATTCAACTCGATTCTCTCGTAATTAATTACAGCAGTTAATGTTTTCTGAATTTTCCGCAATCTTCCTTCTGGACCATCCGGATTCTTTAACTTACGTGGTGTTGGTCTAACATTGTACCTTAGCTTAGAAACCAGTTTTTCAACGTTTGCTTGACCCATATTTATTAATTCTACTTTTCACTCTTTATTCAGAATTGTTTCGAATCAATGTATGCACAAAAAATTCACTAAAAGGCAACTGTAGAATTTTAATGTACCTAATTTTTCGAAGCTTTCTATTTCAGTATCGGGGAATATTCGTAGCCAACGTAAAAGTGTCGTTGCTTTCATACATACTTAAGTATTTGCATACGTAAGTATGTACTTATGTATGTACGTCGTTTCTTCTGAAATACCCATTTAAATAAGTATATCTGTAACGGATATTCTATTAAACACTTCCGTTATAATTTGTCTTAATGCAGATTTAACTATTTAATTTTAAAATTGTTTTAGTTTAAAAATTGATATCGTTGTGAAATTAAATTAACTGCAATTATTATATGACTTCATAAAATTAGAAACATTTTAAAAAATTATACATTGTAGCATATCAATGAAACGAATTGCTATGTCTACTTTAAAAAGCGTTTATAACACAATGATACTAATATAGTTATAATAGAATAAAATATTTTCATATTAAGCTTTGTATCCAAGAAAATTGAATTTAAAAGTTCGCTATAAACTGTTCCTTCTACTCATACTTATACATTGATAAACAGTGGTAATGTCACATTTTGCAAAAAGTAGTGTACGCAAAGGCTAGTGTAAATCTGCAGGTAAAAGAATTAATCGTACGCGTTTAAACACTCAATTAAAGTGTTAAAATATCGTATCATTAGTCCACGTAATTCCCAAACTCAAAGAGCAAGGATTTGTATGCGTTAACACAGACGTTACTTTCAACAATTCGTTTAGTATTGTTAATAAATGTATTACCAATGCATACTTATCATGACATTGGCATCGTTTATTAGTACAAACGCAAAGTCGAGAGCACGCGCACTTGACAAATTTTTAAATACAATTTTCTCGAGAACTAAACCTTTTATGAAAAAATTTTATTCTATATTTTTATGTAGAATCACCACCTTCTCGTTTGTACCACCAGTTACATGACATCACATACATAATTTTTTAAGAACGTATTTTGAACTCTTGTATCATAAAAGCTTTACGTCGAGTATAAATAGGTTAGAAGTTAATTTAAAATATCTTTATTGCTTGTATAACGTAACGGAACGTCCTAAGTATGTAAAATTTTTATTAATAATTCAAATTAATAAAATATAATCAAATTATAGTTATGCGTGTATCAGTAAAATATTTATTTATTATTATACATACTATATTTTACACACACGCGCGCGCGCGCACACACACACACACACATATGCACGCAAGCAGGCACACGAACGAATTTTTAATAGTATAAATTAACAAGCGAAGGTTCGATGAATGAAATGAAAGAATGTAACTCCGGCTGGTCGAATATGTAGAATGGTTCAAAGTATTTTACTTATACTATACACATCGTTACATTATGTATGATATATAGTACGTAGTTAATTCAAAGTAGTGACTCGATAAATTTTAATTGATAACGAGAGGTCACAACAGTAGGGTCGCCGATTTCAATGAATTTCTTTTTTGTGAATCTAAAACAAGAGTGAAAGGACACGTTTCTGAGCGTTTATATTAATTTACGATATCTTCAAATATAGCGCACCAAGAAAGTACAATGAAACAAGTATTTGATAAAGGCTCGATTGAGTGTCCCACCGTTTTCGTTCATATTTTTAAAGGAAAAGGTGTGAAAATTTATAAAAGCGTTGAAACATACTTGGGCTACATATTAGCGTACGTTATATAATTACAATTAATTTTAATATAAAAAGTTCGACATAATCAGAACTATATTACAGTCTATGTCCCCATGAATAGAATGCGCCAGTAAGCAATTACTTTTTAAAATCTGAGACATCTCGACAGTTGTAAACATTATTCGATCTTTCTTTTATCTTTCGCGTTAAGTGTTATTTCTATAATATTACACATAATCGCACTGTTGTTGTTAAGCTTTAAAAAGTCGTACTATTCGCACCACATACTGTTTACATATTGGGCATTCAGACATTTGTTTACCACAGTTGAGGCAGCAAACCACGTGGCCACATTCTAAAAATACACATTCCATAGGTTCATCCCAACAGATTTTACATACATCTGCATCCGGAATATCCACTTCTACTGATAATATTGATAAATTAAAAAGTTTCTCATAGTTAAAAAGTCAAATAAATAAATATATTATAAAAAAAAGAAAAATGTCTTACTTGTTTTTGACCGCTTATACTCTTCCCATAACTTGAAAGCTTTGTCCAATAATTCATACTTTTCTATGCAACCTTTGTAATCGACTCGATTTGTACTCAACAAGTTTTTCAACTGCTTCATGCTTAAATGTTCCAATTCTGATAACGTATTTATATCAGATAATTTCACTGGATCCTGTATTGAAGAAATCAGAAAGAAGAAGAAAAAGAAGAAAAGAAGGGGGGGGGAGAGAGAGATATAAACCATTGTTACGAAAAAGGAATAATAGAATGATCATAATTACATACTACAATGCTCTCTACAAATGTATCAGACATTTTTGTTACTTTCTCATCTTGCGAGTGTATAGATTCTGCTCTTCCATTTGCGTAAAAGTTAATTCTAGAAATTGTCGCAGCATTCGTTTCACGATTCTGATTCAAGTCCTGTACATTATATTCATAGTTTGTTGTTGCCGATTGATTAGAAGGAGAACCGTGGCTGAAATTAAAAGAGAGAAGAAACAGAGTATACATTTGCTCCGTTAAATGTTGATAAGATTGTGAATAGCAGATAAGATATTAACATTACAATATTACAACAATATTAAATATTATCTAATAAAGGAAAACTTACATATTTTCTGCGTCTTCTGTATTCCAATAATTACTGGTACCGTTAGCAAATGTCATTAACAATTTTATTAAATCTTCTTTCTCTGTAAGAAAAAAGAAAGAGAAAGCATGTTATTTGTAAATTAGGACAAAGAATAAGGAGTGTTGCAAGTGTTTTTCTAGAAAGGAATCTGAGAAGATAGAGTAGTCTACAATGTGGGAAATTTAAAGTAATTATGGAATGTAACGTACATACCGATGCATCCTTCAATAGGTACTTTCTTTGCCAACAGATACTGACGCAAGTCTTTAGAACGTACTTGTACAATTTGATTTTGTATCAAAGGTCTTCGAGACAATAGATTACAACTTTCACAGTTGAATATCTTGTCCAATCGTTTGATCACACATTCAGAACAGAAATACCTCAAACAATCCATACATTGTTTCTGGAAGAGTTTCATGAGAAAAGTAAAGTGCTTATTTCAAACACAATATTAGCAGTAGACACATAGCACGCACGCACGCATACAAACGCACACATACACGTACAAGAACACTGTTCTTACCTTGCGTGTAAAAAGGCTGAACTTTACCTTACAAGTTTCACAAGCCATGCCCCCCGCTTTGTAAGAATAATACAGTAATACAAATACCCTCTGTCAACTTAAAATGTAAAGGTTAAGTTTCTACAATCGCATGATAATATATACACTTTGTACGATATTAATCGATATCGGTATAAAAATATAAGAGAGAAAGATGAAAAGTGAAACATACTCTCCTTATACGAAGTATTTTCAACGGGTTTTTATCTATTCGAAGTTGATAATTATCCAGGTAACCGATGAAGTTTGGAAATAAATAAGCGATGGCGGGGGGGGGATTCCCTAAGCTTTGCCAAAGATAACGATAAATAACTATAGAATCAATATCAAGACTATTGGAAGTTACATTTTGCTGCATTGGCCCTTTCATCACGTTTCCTGTATTGAAACAAGTTATTTAAGGTATATTTTTAGCATAAGAATTTAATTGAAATACGCGATTATGTTTAAGATGCTAGATTGACTGAAATGAATTTTTTTTAACACAATACGCAGTACGAATGAACGCGTAGTAAAGATAATCGTAGAGTTGGTAACGCATTTATTCATCTGACTTTATTCGATATTTGATTTCTTCTTAGCTGCTTTCGTTTCTGATTTCTTTGCTAATCGATACATATTCGTATGTACATACATACATGTACATATATAATATGTGACGAGAAATGGCTTTATGTAGTTTGTTGCGTTGTAAATTATGTCTATGTATAGTATGTAAATACTTAAACAAATAGATAAGTGTACATACATATATACATAGTAGGATATTTACATAACTATAGTATACATAATAGTATAGACTATATAGTGTGGGCCTGGACGGGTGGTACAACGTTCTCGGCTTTATGTTTGCACTAATAAAAAATGCCAATGTGAGGATAAGTACTGATTTTTTTTTGATAAGACATTTTTTTCCTTTTAGTTGCACAAGATTTACATAATCTTCTGTTTAGCGACTATTTGTTGCAAAATGTGACATTACCACTGTTTATCAACTTAAAAGTCTGAGCAGAAGTAACAGTTTATAGCGAATAGAAATACGTGGAAAAGTAAGACTTGTGAAAAAGTGTTATTTTATAAAATTACCCTCTTCTCCGTTACACCACCTATCATCCCCCGGCTCATCCTGTATAGACGAATATGTATTATCATTAAACAGTTGGTTAATTAATTTCAGAAGAAGATAAGTACGAGTGATTATGGTCGCGGGTATAGAATATTTATTATCGAGTATCGGCAGCATTGAAATAAATTGATAGAAAACGCTAAGAATTGAGAATAAAAAAAAATGAAAAATGAGGAAAGATGAGATGAGATGATAAGTGTGTATGCGTATTCTCATTTGACTACACATCGGTATAATGAAAAATGCTGGAACTGTTGCACGTACTTACATATGTATATCAGTACGAGAAATAAATCGAAGCGGTTGAAAGCAATCTTTTGTTATTTTAATGTAAAACTTAATGATATCGAAAAATAAATTATACTAGACATAATATGGCGATAAAGGGTGGTGTACGTGTAGTAGACACGTGACGTAGGCCACAAGACGGACCAATAAAGCGTAAAATGCAATTATTTGGTTATCCATCAAGTCGAAGGCGCAGTAGTTTTCCATTCCAGCTTCGAGTTTGAATGATCTTCCCAGGAGCTGACGCGGTTTGTTAATACTTTTCACAGTTGATCTTTTAGCGGGTGGAAAAATGTTCCAAAGAAAAGAACGCGCAGAAGTTGATTAATACATTTTTTTCGACCTGCGAAGTTATTATCTAGCTCCGAGCGATTTGATCTACATAAACGGATGCACCATGCGTTTCACATTTCGAGGAAACTGAGTCTCTCTTCTCGTTCGATCCATAGACTCGATTGGAGGAAAATATCGATTTTTTTTCTGTTCCATCCGAATCGGCTTGGTAGCAGCAACACTTTCATGAAACGCATCTTTTCTGGAAGAAGGGAGAAAGTGAACTACAATAAAAGGTATGATGTATTTCTTATCGTATCGTATCCTATATTTACGTGTATTTATTCTCCGAGGGACGAAATAGCGATTTTGGACAGTCTTTGTAGTAAGGCCAACACTCTCCGTGAAACTTTCCTCTATTTTCGGCTTCAACATATTCTTCCAGGAGGTTGGCAAATGGTGATTTACTAGCACTAGAAAGAAAGTTATACATGTTTACTTAATTGTACGGATAAGGAGTAGCGATAAAAGGCGCTTACGTGAAGAAAAGCTTGAGCATTTCTCCAATCAGACCGAAATTGCTCAAGGGGTGTCCTTGCACTTCACAGATTGCTCTTAATAGACATGCCTTTCCGTTTAAACCGAAATTTGCGAGCATATCCTCAGCGGTACCGTACAAAAGAGCCCTTTCACCTCCGTAAAGTACATCCTTTGGTAGATCCGCGATCGCTTCTCTCTTGCTAAGTCCACGCTTCACGAATGTCGCGATAAATTCTGCCGTGTTCGACGATCCTTGTTCTCTCGCAGTTGCATCGAACGCCGATGGTAAAGCGCCATAAGGGTTCTCATTGTCGGTTAAACCAAGTTTATCAAAATCGACTGTTGTGAAAAAGAGATTCAAGAGAGAAAAGAGATTCGTATATTATCGTATAATCTAGGAGGGAGAGTTAACTCCGTGTAAGTACTCACTGGTAAAAGGGAGGCTGATTGTCATGTTGCTGAGAAAACCGTAGGGTGGATATCTGACGAACGGTAATGCCAATGTTGGAGTTATCGTCATTATGGTGCCGGGTGGTAATGCTATTCGGCCATCGTTAGTTATCCAAAAGAGCCTCTTTTGTCGGTGATGAGAGAACGTATGCCCATCGTTGCCGTTATTATTTTCAGCATCGGAAGATTTGAGGAACAGGATTAATCCAAGCAACGCTACCATGCTTCTTCTTCTTCTTTCCATGTTTTCTCCCCTCCAGATATAAGGTGTAGTACAAGGAGAAATGTTTCTTTACGGAAGAATTGATTATTCCTGTACCTGTGTACGATGATCAATAAACACATCAGTTATTCCCCTTCTCGGTGCAATGCGAATCGGTAAGATATGTCAAGGAAAAAGGAAGGAATACGGGACAAAAGGAAAGGGGGTTAAACGTAGTACCATAGAAAGGATCGCGAATTAAGAAGATTCCCGTTAGGTGTGTGTACACGTACATATGTATATGTATACAGCAGCGTAAACGTGCGGTGCCTTCGTATGCACGATACGTATCGAAAGGACGATGTGGGGCATCGTACACTACGCGGTAGCCACGAAACGTGTTCAGCTTACGTTAGCATTCTTAAAGGAGTACATATGTATCGGGACTGAGAATCGTCAATTTCTACTTCCTTCCAATCACACGCAGCTGCAATACTGATCTTTGTAGGTATGTGTACTATTCTAACTATAGGACGTAGGCAGGTATGCAAACGACGCCGGATAATGGTTGATCGAAAAATTTGAAGAAAAAAAAACGTAGACATTAGTAGGTTAACTGTCAGCGTATCGTAGAAATTTTCAACATCATATCGTACGGTGTCCTGTTGACATTCCTCCTGATCAATGTTGATACGTGCATTGAAATCAGAATTGAATCGAACCGAATTGAATAAAATCAAGCAATCACCTCACATACGCTTTTCGTCCGCACCGTTAAGCCCTACTGTAAATTTTGGTCGTGAGTAAAAAATGAGTCAAGCTGCTTTTCCACATTATTCCTTCCTGTCCTCTGCTTTTCCATTCCATTCTCACAGTTACATTTCTTACCCTCTCTGTCTCTGTCACTTTTTCGTCCGTTCCAGTACTTTCCCTTCCAATTTGTTTTCGCGCTCATGTGCACACCCGTTTACTTTCTTCAATTATTCGATTTGACGTTAGCTTCGATATAAAGAATGCTTCTTTACGCTATTACCGGTCTGCTAGCCATGTTTTTCACAAATTATTCCCATCAAGTTGAAACCACAAATGCAACGTTACAACGTTACAACGTAAGAATGGCATGTATTTCTTTGAATTTTTTGTTATAATGTTAATGGTAATGGTTAGATTTAAAATAGGTAGATAGTGAGTTGGAAGAGTTTTCAGTTGAACTCGTAACACCGATGTATACATATACAGTACGTACATACGATACATACATTCAAGTACATAATTACAGTTTCGAGAATTTTACATAGTTTGCTCTAACAAATCAAAGAGTAGTTAAAAAAAGCGATTAAAGAGAGACAAATTGAAGTAATAATATAACGATTTGAGAGAAAAATAATCGACGTTTTCGAAATTGGGATGATCGATTGGTAACGATGAGTAACGACGAGTAACGACGAGTAACGACGAATAACGAATAGAACAAACAAACAAAGATAATAAAAACTACATCCGGAATGTACGACATACACAATTTCAATCCCGGAGTATGTAAATATCTTTTCTATCACATTTTTCTCTTTATTCTACGTGTTTACACAGAAATAATGAAAAAGTGAGAACACGAATGTAAAGGGAAAACACTTGACGTTGTAGAAAAAGGTTGAGAAGATAAGAAAATGTTAATGTACAGATATATGCGTATGTACTTACATAATTAATTAGGAACATTGAAAACCGACTAACCTAACCTAGTACATACTGCGTACCTTCAATTTATGGTAGACGCGTTGTTTCTTTCACACAGGCGTGTTACTCATCAGGGAACGCGGTCGTTGTACTATAACTGGGCTAATTTTGATGCACGCTGATTAACAGAGCTGCGGCATAATTGTACCCACCACCACAGTTCCTTTGCTGTTGCTAGAAAGAAAATCCAATAGTATCAGTTTCTTTATTCCTCTACTTTGTTCTTCTTTCTTTCTTTCGTGTGTGTGTGTGTGCGCGCGTGTGTGTGTGTGTGTACCGCCGACGAGTTGTACAGTATTTCCTTTTTCTTCTTTCTCAACTATTCTTCCTTTTGTAGTGTTTCCGTAGTGGATGTAACAATAGACAGAAACATGTATTTGACGTGCAAATGTATATTTCTTCTTTGGTAGATGTATGTTATGTATAGCGCGTAGAACGTGTACAACTTTTCGCTGACTGTTTATCAAGCCCCGTTTTTAAGTTAACCCGCCGCGCACGTACTGCGTAAGTACGTACTCGTACGAGTATATAGTTACATATATCGCGAAACGGCTCGCGTCCGTGTAACTCAGAAGGCTGCTGACTCTTGCCACCCGGTCACCAACTGACCGGTAATCTACTCGACGCTCCTCATTTTACGAGCCGTGTTATCCTCCGTTACGTTACTTCCCACTCACTCACCACACGCGTATTCCTCCGCTGCTCCTGACTTTCCTTCCTTCCTTCCTCCCTCACTCGCTCATTCCCTCCCTCTACTGTTTCCCCATCTGTCTCTTTGTATTACCCCCCTAACAGCGTGAATGTATGTAGAATTAAAGAACGCAGTAAGAAATTCCTCGTGGCAATAGTAAAATTCACAACGTACTTTATTACAAATCTGCGGGGATCGAGCGGTACAATGCTAGTATTGTTAATTCTAAATTGCTCTGGAGAACCACCCACGTGGACGAACGTGGACTTAAATATGTTCCTTAAGTACATAGTCTTGACTCGGATGTATCGGACCGAGCTAATAGACCCAATATGGTTCACCAAAAGAATTTTCATTCCAACAATGTTATTTAATACACGATATTTTAAGTAAAATTAACGTCCTCGATAAATCGAGTCAGAGAGCTTTCTTTGAATTGACTTGCGCGAAAACAAAGCCAACGGGGGAGAGAAAAACGAAAGAAAGATCTACCAGCGTATTATCACCATTGCTAGTAATATTACCTACAAAAACAGAATTGCTTGCTCGCTTACTCAATACACGACAACGTCGTTAATATTACGCCTACATCTTAATAATAAAATACAATCTTAATATGCTTCTTTCAAACATTTCAACAAACAAAATCACCCGTTAATGATAATTATCATTTTTTCCCGGTTTTCAATCGAAAGAACTCGTACACGTAGTAGTGTATGTACTTACATAGGTACGGTGTTTATATTATAAGACGAATCCCCTCTCCAGATATTTCTACGTTTGTACAGTACCTACGTATCGGTAGAAAAGAAACGACTTGTCACACATAGTACAACTGAAGAAAACGTGACAGTGTGCGATCGTCACTTCTTTTCCTTTTCTTCCTTTCTCTTTAAGTGAGAATACCTTAAGGACTGTCCAAAGTTTCCTCTTCCTTCTTCTCTTAAAAGGCGAACGATGGTAATGAAAATGTTTCCATTTGAAAACAAGATAGGTTCCCGGCGGGGGGTGAAGGTGGGAGAGAGGAGAGTGAGACATAAATGGTATGGGGGAGAGGATTACATACATACTTTCGCGAACAGATGACACAACGCTAACTGTAAGTTCAGCGTAACGATTATACTTCTCGTAAACAAGTATAATCAGGTAATTTTAAACAGATTTGCTTTTACGCGATTTTTCGGTCAAATTATAAGAAAACGTGTAATATACGCATATATGTACACATATACGCGTAAGTATGATAATCAATTGTTATTTCTCTGTTTGCGTGTAAGAGATGTAAATACAGTATACTCGATAAATTGAACTACACAGAAAGGAACTTAAGTAACCTTGGGGTTCGAGAATCTTTATTATGTCACTCATCCTTTCCAATAAAATATTTCTTTCCTCAAATCTATCTTTACACATTACGAAAAACAAGTCAAGTACTTTAAATTCTACTCTAAGGCGACTCACCTGTATATTCGTATTTATACAGAATGTTAAAAGTAAGCATTCGAGGATTTACGAAGAGTATACACGCTAATGGCTGAAATGAATCAAAGTCCAGCATAGAAAAACATGTCTCTTACGTGATTAACACACAAAATCACCTTCAACATTATACAACTCCAAATTTCTCAAAAACTTTTCAACGTCCTACCCGCTACACACACGTACACTTTTTCTCTGACATTTTTCCGAGTAGTCTTCCTTCGATTCTATTATACATATATAAGAACATATGAAAATACATATTTAAATTTACCCAATATTTACTCGGAATTCAAAGTGTACGTAATTGTACAGAGCACAGATAAAACAACATACATTCTCACATTCTCCCTCTCTCTCATTCCACTTTTTTTTTGCTCATAACAAATGCTTATTTGGAAGAACTTAACGGTCATTCCTCCATGTAAAAACACGAGATTCAACATTTTATCAACACTTTACCTTTCTTTTAATTCTGTTGTAACATTATTTTAATATTCAAACGTTGCTAATCTTCATTATTAACAGTTCTACTAACATAACTGTCGTTCTCGAAAGAATTTACCGGAAAAAAAAAACAAAGACGCGAACTATATGCTTTTATTGTTCATTTACCTTATATAAAGGCTTTTCCATATCGTAAATACATTAGAAATAAATTCGACGAATTCGGCGAATGTTTCGACGCTGTTTTTCATAAAACGTTATTAAAACTGGTATGCATTTAGAACGTTCGAACAAGGCACACTTATTGCTTTTATAATTATGCGTCTCGATAACGATAAACGCTTTTCGTACATGCATTCATCATCCATTTCTTCGCACGTATAATTTCAGCTCTGCCTCCTTATTACGTTTTCCATCATAGCAGGCAAGAGAATACGAAATAGAGCTGAACAGCGACGCTACACCCATCATATCACTCGCGAAACAGACGATTCGGACATATTAGAAAGGATGAAATCGCGTAACAGCAACAACTCGATCGTAATACATACCCCTCCCCCCACTAATATTTATTTCGTCGTTTTCGTCGTTTTCGCCGTTTTCGTCTTCGTCATCATTCTAGTTGATTTGTCCACGGTCTTCATCATCGCGTGCGATCGAGAAGTTCTGCCAATCGAAAATTATCACTTTCGCAGGTTTATCTTCTGTCGGAGAGAGATCTATACTTAAACTAACGTAAACTATTTTCCTAACAGTTTTTAACGAGACGGTCTCGCGACCGTATACATTATCGCGATTTAAAAATAAAGTTCAATCATATTTTGTACATCGTAGAACTTTGTTTCATCTGAACACGGTTTGGATCTAGCTCGCGTATCGATGCATGCGTACATGTACAAAAATTCACGTCTGACCAACGTATTAATATAGCTTATGTATGTATATACACGATTGCATCGATTCACGTTCGCGTCTACATTCACACTTTCACGATATACGCAACAAATAACGCTGTAACA